ACATGCTCTACATTCTATCTTTCCGTGTGTGTGTATGCGTGTGCGCGTGCGATACATTCTACGCGTGTGTCTACGCAGGAGAGCGATACTTCAACTGCCTGCTGTCGATAGAGAGTGCGGATCGGCTGTACGCGAACCCGGACAGCTCGTTACCTGAGGGCATCTACCGCACACTGAGCGCCATGAGCGACCTCGCCGACCGCATGCTAGTCCAGATCATACAGTGGGCGAAGAGAGTGCCAGGTAAACTATAGAGAGTTCCAGGTAAACTATAGAGAGTGCCAGGTAAACTATAGAGAGTGCCAGGTAAACTATAGAGAGTGTCAGGTAAACTATAGAGAGTGTCAGGTAAACTATAGAGAGTAAACTATAGAGAGTGCCAGGTAAACTATAGAGAGTGTCAGGTAAACTATAGAGAGTGCCAGGTAAACTATAGAGAGTGTCAGGTAAACTATAGAGAGTAAACTATAGAGAGTGTCAGGTATAACTATAAGAGAGTGCGCAGGTCACCAACTATGAGAGAGTGTCAGGTAAACTTATAGAGAGTGTCAGGTATAGCTAAGAGAGTGTCAGGTAAAGCCTATAGAGAGATGTTCAGGTTAATAACTATAAGAGAGTAACTATAGAGAGTGTTCAGGTAAACTGAATAAGAGTAAACGTATCGAGAGTGTCACGGACTAAACATATTAGAGTGTCAGGCTAGCTAATTAGAGGAGTGCGCAGGTAAACTATAGAGGCGTGTCAGGTACACTATTAGAGATGTGTCAGAGTAAACTATAGAGCGGAACTATAGAGAGTGTCAGGTAAACTCTAGAGAGTGCCAGTAAACTCAATAGAGCGTGTTCAGGTAAGACATAGTATTAGCGTGCCAGTAAACTATAATGAGTGTCAGGTAAAACTAATAGAGAGTGTCAGGTAATACTATAGAGAGTGTCAGGTAAACTGATAGAGAGTGCTAGGTTAAAGCCTATAGAGAGTGTCAGGTAAAACTATAGAGATGTTCAGGTATACTATAGTAGAGTGTCAGAGTAAGACTATAGAGAGTTGTCAGGTAAATCTATAGAGAGTAAACTATAGAGAGTGTCAGGTAAACTCTACGAGAGCTGTCAGGTAAACTATAGAGAGTGTGCAGGTAAATCTAATTAGAGAGTGCCGAAGGTAAACTATAGAGATGGTGTCCAGGTAAACTATAGAGAGTGAACTATAGAGAGTGTCTAGGGTACTTGGACGTGAACTATAGAGCATCGAGTCTAGGCTAGAGCTATAGAGAGTCGCCAGGTAAACTATCCACGCACGCACACAGGTCGTCAGGTAAAGCTTATAACGAGAACCGCTCAGGCACACACTATACGAGAGTCGCACCCACAGCGCTAAAACTATAGAGAGTGTCCAGGTAACTATGGAGAGTGTCAGGTAAACTAAGAGAGTGTCATGGTAAACTATAGAGAGTGTCAGGTAAAATAATAGGACGAGTGTTTCCAGGTAAACTATTAGAGAGTGTCAGGTAAACTTAATAGAGAGTGTCAGGCTAAACTAGAGAGTGACAGTAAACTATAAGAGAGTGCCAGGTAACTAATAGAGAGTGGTCAGGTAAACTATACGAGAGTGTTCCAGGTAAAACTATAGAGAGTGTGCAGGTAAACTATAGAGAGTCGGTCAGGTAAACTATAAGAGAGTGTCAGGTAAAACTACCTATGAAGAGTTGTCAGGTAAACTATAGAGAGTGTCAGGTAAACTTATAGAGAGTGTCAGGTAACACTATACGAGAGTGTCAGGATAACGCAGTATAAGAGAGTGTCAGTAAATCTATAGAGAGTGTCAGTAACTTATTAGAGAGGTGACAGGTAAACTATAGATCGAGTGCCAGGTAAACTATTAGATGAGTGTCAGGTAAACTTATAGAGAGTGTCAGGTATAACTATAGAGAGTGTCGGGCAGGTAAACTATAGAGAGTGTCAGGTAAACCTATAGAGAGTGTCACGGTAAACCTAATAGAGTAGTGTCAGGCTGAATAACTATAGCGGAGTGCCAGGATAAACCTATAGAGCGTGTTTCAGGTAAAGCCCTATAGGAGTTAAACCTATAGAGAGTGTCAGGTAATACTAGTAGACGATGTGCCCAGGTAAACTATAAGAGAGTGTCAGGTAAACTATAGAGATGTCAGGTACATTATAGAGAAGTAACTTATAGAGAGTGTCAGTAAACGCTATAAAGAGTGATCAGGTAAACCTATAGGGAGAGTACAACTAATAGAGAGTGTCAGGTAAACTAATATCGAGATGTGCGCAGGTAAACTATAGCGAGTAAACTATAGAGAGTGTCCAGTAAAACTATAGAGAGTTGTCAAGGTAAACTATACCAGAGACAGTGGTCAGGTAACTATAGAGAGTGCCAGTAAAACTATAGAGAGTGTTCCAGGTTAAACTATAAGAGAGTGCAGGTAAACTATAGAGAGTGTCAGTAAACTATAAACCGAGAGTGTCAGGTAACTAATAGAGAGTGTCAAGGTAAACTAATAGAGCAGTGTTCAAGGTAAACTATAGAGAGTGTCAGGTAAACTATAGAGATGTGTCAGGTAATACTATATGAGAGTGTGCAGGGTAAAAGCCCTATTAGAGAGTAAACTATGAGAGGTGGCGCAGGGTAAAACTATAGAGGAAGTGCCAGGTAAAACTATAGAGAGGTGTCAGGTAACCTATAGAGAGTGTCAAGGTAAACTTATAGAGAGTGCCAGGTAAACCTATAAGAGAGTAAACTATAGGAGTGTCAGGTAAACTATAGAGAGTGTCAGGTCAACATAGAGAGTCGGCCAAGGTCTAAACTATAGAGAGTGGGCCAGGTAAACTATAGAGAGTGCCAGGTAACTTATAGAGAGTAACTATAGAGAGTGTCAGGTAAACTAATAGAGAGTGTCAAGGTAACGTCATGAGAGGAGAGTGTCAGGCTAAATATAGACGAAGTGGTCAGGTCCCGTAATATAGAGAACGTAAACTATACGACGAGTGCCAGGTAAACTATGAGAGTGCCCAGGTTAAACTGATG